CTCTTCTGGAGTGGATGCTTTGCAACCTACAACAACGTCATCAGCGTATTTACAGCCAATGAATGCAGGAGGAATGGGAAATTGTTTGACATACATAGAAAAGAAATATGGGGAAAATATTGCACCTTGCAGGACATCAGAAAAAAAACTGGGCGAATGGAGGACTTTTTTCCGTTGAAACATGTAAACTGCTTTCTGTCTGTGAAATAATCACAGATCAGTCTGCTAACGTTTGAATTTACCCAGTAGTCTAGGAACATCATTCTGACGGTTGATCGATCAAGACTGCCGAAAGCGTTTTTGTAGTCTAGGAACATCATTCTGACGGTCATAATTTTCTTATCTAGTGCCGAAATTATTGAATGAACAAGGTATGCAACGACATCAAGTGCTGACCGCGAGGAGCGATATGCAAATTGATATATGTCTTCTTCGTCAGACTCAGTGACAACCCACGGTAATAAGCATCTCTCAAATAATTTGAGCATGACTGACGTGCAGGCGATGGGACGATATTTTCCAGATTCCTTTTTTGGAACGGGAGTTATCTTGGCAAATCTCCAAATATCAGGAATTTTTCCACTTGTGAGACAGTCATTGAATATTTTAGACAATGGGGCTGAAAAGGTATTCGCACATACTTTGTGTTCTACTGGTGATAGTTCATCAGGGCTCGATGCTTTATTCAACCTAGTTTTTAGTAGCTGTTTCAGGACTGTGGCGAGTTCGATAGTTGGTGTCAGCGTAGAGCTGACTAAGTCTGGCAGGGCAGTACACCGTGAAACTGGACTAAACTCGGAATTTAGTCTTTCAATATCGACAGTTTCCTTTTTGTGTTTACGGCTACTGCCACACAATCGGTTGGTAGACCTCAACATGCCACGACAACTAGAGTTTCTCAGGATAGTGTCGATGTACAGTTTGCTCAACCAGTTTATTTCAGCCTTGATCGAAATGGTTAGCCGCTTGATATGGATTTTTTGTCCTTGTTTGTAGGCTTGTTGTTTCCGCCTGCGTAACTGCTTGAGTAGCGGTGATGAGTATCTGCCTTTATGAATAAAGACGTTTTGGGCTTATGTTATCTTTTTCCTTATTTTATTGACTCTAGATAGATTGGTATTGGTATAAACAGTTTTTAGTAAGAAGAAGGGCAGCAATGGGGTTTATTTGGGTGTCCGTGATAGGATTCATGCACACATCCTTTTTTTGGGGGTGGGTGAAATTGGTGATTTGAACAGCTTGATCAATGCCGCCGTCCGTTGTTTCAGACCAGTCAGGCTGATAGTTTGGATGATCGGAACCTTTCATAAATGCGCCTAACATATGTATACATATCTGAATGCAAAGGATTGGCAAGTGAAGACCTAAAAATTAAATACAATAACCGAATACTCAAACTCACTTCTTTTTAAAATGTTTAGCGAATCTCTTCCATGGAATCCCATTGTTCGGCAGGTCTCAAACCCAGCTAAGTTTAGTTGCCATCCACACCACAGAGCGACTTTGGTCATTTTTGACGAGGAACAAACAAGAAACACATCACCATCATTGCCATGTTTTTGCTCCTTCGCCACTCACGGTTTGGCTATAGAGTTGTTGATTTTGGTCTTCGAAATGTGGCGCATTAGTTGTTTAATAATGCTGCTGACGAATCGCCAGTCTATCAGATCAATTACCGACACATGTTGTCTTCTGACCTATACATGAGTGTTTGTTTTCACGTCTCAAGAATGACATTTATCCCAATCTCATCTCTGGTACATCTCTTCCGAGGGGAGTGAATATAATTATTTGGTTTCGTTGATCATTTTTCACTTGACACACAACACAGGTCCACGTCGATCAATAATCATATATGTGTCCTACATGGGTTGTAGATTACCTATCAATTCTGAGTGTAGTGAAGTGGATGGAGTAGAAGTTCTCATCTAAGTACGGCAATTTTCTCTCCTTGGAATTCATCGATTTTTTGAAGGGATAACTACGAAGAGTCACGTGAAAAGAAAACAAATCGAGCGAAAACAGATGCAGGTTGATTATCTCCACCCAGTTGATTTCTCGTCCCTCCAAATCACAAGCTTTCTTAGATTGTTAGTGACCTCTTTGTTTACCAAACTGGACACTTGTTAACTTCCCTCTCCTCACCGTTTTGTCACGCTTTCCTTATCTCCGGTAGCAACACATTCGCGATGAGTTTGCCCGGGTTTTGGAATCGGTTCAGAAAGATGTGATCCGTTGTGATCGCCATCACCATTTCTTCCACAAAATCGGTGAGTTGCCTGTTGGATTGTTTTTTATAATGCGATTTTTCGTTTCAAGGAAAAACAAAACTTCGTTTTTTTTGTCTCCGGTATCCCGATGATTATTATGCGGTCTATCAGGCTCAGATAAATGGATTCAGTACTGTTCGACTGCACATGGGAGTTTCAAATAAATCCATTTGATTACAGAGCAACAGCTATCACATAATGAGAAAAGGAGGCAATAAATTGAGAACACGTCTGTTCCGTTTATTTTGTGCGTCACAGAGTGCGTATAAAGTGATTGACCCAGCTGGATAACGGACTCAACAGCAAGAACACAGACATTAAACTCGCTTACACAACCCTTGTTGGGAAGTGTGTCGCGAGCCACTTATCTCTGAAGGAACCATTTTGCACCGGAGTACCATTTTTGGATACATATTCACTTCCATTTGGTAATTTAACACGCAGTGGGGAAATTATATCTCATCAGAACAGTGGTAATGCAATGGACACAAAATTTCAAAAGGTTTTATTGCATATCGTGCACCAAATTGTAATGCATGTGTCGCACCATTCTCGTACTTTAAAGTGACAACCAGAGGACACTACGGCCACCATTCAACGGTTTCAGTTCAATTAGTGCAAACCACTGGAGTTTGTAATCGGTCTTGTTAGGACTGATACCCTCTTCCGTCACATGTGCACTCGCCGCCTTTGACCACAGACCTGTTCATATCACCTCCGAAACATCTTCTATCGT